CTAAGTAGGTTCCACTACGATCGTTTCACAAGCTTGAGTGCCAAAGCTCATGGTGCGCATTGAAGTCGGGCAGCAAGTGACAGGAGGTATTATACATTAAATAAATATTTCGAGCTCAACATCGCCTGACCGGATAGCAATGCCCTGACATTCTGGGATGGTATCTTTGCGGTCGATGTCTGCTTCAATAAGACGATACTGCACGGTGTGGCGCGTGATAAATGCTAAGCCACCACCATTACCTCGCTCGCGATCTCGACGGTGCACGTTGTACCCGGCACAATTCAACAATGTTGAATTGCTGTGCAACTTCGTCCCTTGGACCGCAGCTATCAATACACCATGCCTTCCCATGAAGACGGTTATCTCCTCGATCTTACTCTGAAGTCCGTTGCAGTTAAATTGAAGGAACTTCATGTGCTTCGGGAGATGTTTAGCTATGCGGGGTGTGAGGGATGTGTGTAGCCTTGCCGCCATTGGCTGTGTGCGCTGCTGTGGAGGTTGCCGCCCTGTGGTGGTTGTGGGTGGCGTCGCAGTTGGGGTTAGCGACCGAGCAGCGTAACACGGGCCCTCGAAGTTACTCGTCCAATCTCGCGTAGTGCGCGGACCTCAACATGCCCTAAAGTGATCTAGCGAAACGTTGGTGTACTTGACGCGGGGCTAGATCTTAAGTGGTGACATGGGGGCCCTTTGCGGTTTCCATGTCGGCATGAACAAACAGAGATGCTCCGCATGGGGACCTGTGTAGGACATGTGCTTACGCAGTTTCCGATGTGGAGATTACCGTACCAACGAACCCAGGGTTTCGCGTTTTCGAGGCTACGGGTGTCACAATCCCGGGTACCCCAGTCAAAGGCTACCAATCGTGAGTCGGTCGGAGGCTTAATTGGTAGAAGAGTCTTCGGCTTTCGAAAGTCATACCTAAGACTTTTAAATAAAAAAGGGCTCCGCGGGCGAGCAGATCCCCTGGAGTATGCTGGTCGGCTAGATAAGCAAAACTAGTGAGATGAACAAGGCCAAAATGCAGGCTAGATTTACATGTAAGATCGTACAGCTGGTAAGATTTGCAAGGAAGAATGCGGCTCGTCAAGCTACTCGAACGGGTGTTGAAAACCTGAAAAGGAGCAAATTCCATGCCTATTGTCGACCCGGGCTGGAAGGCGCTCCCCAGTATGGCTAGTAGGACCTGTGAGATTAGCGAGACGAGCAGAATGAATGAGGAAATGAGCTGGGTGAATATGTTGAAAACTGTTGGAAAATGTTGGAAATCGTTGGAAAATATGGAAGATGTTGGATAACGTGAAGGAACGTTGACAATGTTGGAAATGTTGTTAAACACGGTGTAAATTTTGTGGTGAGCCGTGGAAAAGTCTAAAAGAAGAATGCAAATCTTACTAGTTGTGTGGTCAAGCATGTGTATTCTGGTATGTTTAATAGGCTGCGTGACTCGAGCTGGTCAAGCAAGTCCGGCTGGCGAGCACTACTCCAGTCTACTCAGCGAGGTATAGCCCTTCGGGGAGTATCGCATGGGCTGTGGTTTAATACCTAAATGCGGGTAGAACTCGCATGGGTTCAATGTGGAGTTGCACTGCAACCGGGTGCCGGGACCCAGAGAACGGCAGATATTTTAGGTAGGTTTCGGCCTCACCAAGGTGCTAAGTGTGTCCGCCCCACACTGCCTTTGGTACGGAAATGCTTGCATTTCAGGGCAACGATTAATGCATAAATTAATCCGTTGAGCTTTTGAGCTTCGTGGAGCTCAGATTGCATTAGATTGCGGCAGGTACCCACGTTAAACCAAAACTACAGATGCTCTAAAGTAGCACCAGCCAAGGCAGGGGTTGCACTTGACTGATGTCACATTACGAAATATCCTGGTCTGACATACCTTGCAGATTGTAGGAGGAACTAGGAGTTGTTGGCGGCGGCGTGTGGGTGGTGGTGCGGTTGTGTCTGTTATGCGGTCTGTCGCGGTTGTGGTGTGGTCTATTTTGTTGTGATGCTGTAGTGTCTGTGTTGAGCTGCTCAGGTGCACTGGGGTTAGCCGTGGAGGCTGCTCTGTTTGAGCAGCAGGGGACCACAACAGATGTGGTCCGCTGCCGAAGTGTCCGTATTCCTGAGCAGACTCTGAGGTAGCTCCACCCCTCGTAAGCATTGCACTTGAATGAGGTGGAGTTGTGGTGTAGTCGTCTCTGGCATACACGGCAGGTTTAGGTTTCTGGCCCTGAGTTTGACTCGATGCCAGCCCTGAGCAGAAGTATACGTAGCGAATGTAGCCCTATGGGCGACCAAATTCTGAGATACTCCGCCAACCTAAACGGGGTTAGATCGCCGAAACAACACCCCCTGGTCGAGTAAGACCCGAGTCATTCCGGTACGTAGAACCGGCTGTCCTGGGAATGATTACATCTCGGTGTGTGGGTCTGGTTAAAAAAGCACGCACCAAATTTTTATGTGTGCTATGTATATACTAGCTGTTATTCTGATCTTTTTTGTTACCTGGAAATCCTATTTTATCAGGTCTATTCTGCACGTTACCGAAGATTTTGTAACCGGAGAATTGTATTACCAAAAAATGTTACCAGCTCTTGTCACCGCGATTCTAGGTACGTTGGTAATGCAGTTAAAATATTCAGCAATTCAGCTATGAAGAATTGTGCAAATCCTGGCATTGCATATTTCACGGGGAAATAATTTGTTACCAGCTTATAAGATGGTAACAAAATTTACCAGTTACAAGAGTATACAGAATGCGAAATGGGTTTAAAAATTGACAGGAACTTTATTTACCAGTTACAAACTTTTTATTACCAGCGCAGAATAGACCTGTAAGTATAAAAACCAGGAAACAAATTTATTTACTGCCGCCAAACGCCAAACGTTTTCTTAAATGGCAGGAAATAAGTCATTGTGGTAGGTTTTTAAACCCTCTCTTGGTAGGAAAGAAAGTTTTTCAGTGATAACAATGGTCACGACTGCATATATCCATACAAACATATGTACATATGCAAGTTAACAGTAGCTTTCGCCTTTCAATTAAATTATAAATATAAACATATTTCCAATAATGCAGTTGGTCTTATTGTTAGTTGGACTCATAGAAAGAAATCTAACTAAAAAATGGAAAAGGACTGATTTAATTGAAGATGTAATTGATATGTTTTTTCTTCAACCAACTGAGTAAAGAATGGCTTAATGAAAGTTGCAGCTGCAAAACAACCGCAGCTGAATAAATAGCGACTTTATTAAGAATGAAACTTAATATGTTCAATAAGGCAATTTCAAAAAACCTAATTTATTATGCTATAAATAAGATTCTGCAAAACAACTGCAGCTGGATAAATAGTATGACTAAGAAATAAAGTTGCAAATGCAAAACAACTGCAGCTGAGTAAATAACACTGTGAGACAAATGGTAGGGGTCAGTGATCGGGAAGGGTTCAAACTACGGGGGAAAGTTATATCGGTAAAAAGGAAGTTATACGTGTCCCGGCGTATCGCTGGGTCACGTCTAGGAATCGAGATATATCGATTTGAAGTTAGTAACTATCATATAGGGGAAATTGTCACCTTTGGTGGTCTTTTTTTGACATAACTCGAGAACCACCAGTCCGATTTTACTCAAGCAAATTTAAAAAAATTAAAAATTATAATTCCTTTAATCTGTTCATATAACGTTTTTCTATATAATCAACAGTTTTGCCGGTAAAAATAAATGTATGAAGAAAAAAAATATTTTTTGCCTAAAATATTAAATTTTTTTATTTTTTAAATTCATAAAAAATCCAAAACGGAAAAAAGGCAAGTCGTATTACTTTCACGCAAAGTCACATAACCTTTAAGCAAAATGAGACATAGATCATGAAAATCGATGGACGCGTTCGCTTTTATTCACAATTAAGTGAAGGTATCTCATTTTGACAAGAATATTGATTTTATGTTTCAATGAATTTGGATAATATTTATTATTAACACGTAAAATTAAAAATTATTACAGGTAATTATTAGTTTATTACATAGATACATAGGTTATAAAAATCGATGAACGCAAAACTTATTTTCGTTTGTTTGCGCCCTTTACTTTCTTGCGTGGTCGTTCGCCCACTTGTTCAGAGTCTGTATCGGATGAGGATCTGTCTTCATCTGGAAAAAATCAATTGTTTTTAATCATTCTGTTAACTTCATTTTTGTGACTTACCCTCGGAGGAAACTCCCATTGTATATTCTTCTTCTTCATCTTCATTGTCGGGATCGTACGTCTTTTGCTACCACCAACAAATTTCAGCCACCAGCGAATCGCCTTTTGCCTTTATATCGCGTTTCCATTGGCATTGCCACTTGATGGAAGCGCTCGCCATGTTCATCCGACTCTGACGCTAGCTGTTTGCTGAAGTATTCGAGATGGTGATGCAAGAAGTGAATTTTGAGGGACATATTCACTCCAATTTTCTGGAAGTAGTGCAACATCTTGGTCACAAGAGCGGGGTAATTGTGTGCTCGCGTACTTCCCAAAAAATATCGTATGACTTTCTTCACTGCCCTCCACGCAAAGTAATCATTACCTTCTAAAGTAAACGTAAATAAAAAAACAATAACAAAAAAAACAGATGGAGCTGAACAGCTCGCAGACGAGGCCGGGCATGGCCTTTCGGCAGCCGCCGAAACGGGGACTGTCCCGACAGAACTACCGGGGGCGCATAGTCCCCAGTATGACGTTAAGATGGTTGACACCAGCGCTAGACGGGATGCGAGTCCCGTCAAAACGCTTTCTGATATCTCGCCGGAGGATGAGCAGAAGCTGCTTGCCTCTCCGACAGGTAATGATACTCTCGTCCAAACTCGAGAGCGAGATCAGCTTAGTGGAGCCGGTCGAAAACGCCTCAAGCGCTATTTGGAGAAGGGTATGAGCTATGAGGAGGCTAGGGAATTAGCGAAAGAGCCCATTGGGCCCCCCTCAAAGGAGAGATCGGCTAAAAGAATCCGATCAAAGAGTTCCACTCCACAGGAGCAAGCCCCAAAGAAGGTCTCCAAATTTATGGACGGCGCAGCGAGAGCTGAGCCGGCTGGGGCAGTAACAATGCCCACGACCGAGGCAAGCCTGCCTCGTGAAGACGCCGGAAAGGCCGTGAAACCAGCATCCTTTAGGGACGCACTGTGTGAGGTGAAGCTGGGTATAGTCCCCGAGAACTATCCGGCTACGGTCTGGTCGACGGACGAACTGAGGGCCATTCAGAATGCCATCCTTAGGGCGATAAGAGGCAACAAAGATAGCGCTATAAAGCCTATTTTTGATGGCTGCACTTTTCGTCCGGGATGGTTATCCATTATCTGCAGGGACGCAGTAACTGCGGAGTGGATAAGGGCTACAGTTCCGAAGATTGCCCCCTGGAAAGGGGCAAAGATGAAGGTGGTAGCGGATAGAGAAACGCCTCGCCCCATAATTTTGGTGGGATTCTTCCCGGAGCTGGATAGCTCCAGGAATGAGGACGCGCTACTACTTCTTCAGGGGCAGAATGAAGGCCTCAAAATAATGGACTGGCGAGTTCTAAATCGGGTGCGCAAGTCCACAGTGGTAGAAATCACCATTGCGGTAGACCCGATCTCGGCAGACATCCTCAAACAGAGAGGAAATGTTGTCAACTACGGCTACGGTACGGTCAAGTTGAGGGAAAAAGCCAAGCCGTTGGTACCAGTGGTAGCAAAGGACGCCGCTGACACCGACGGAACGGGCACGGACGAACAACCCTGTTGTTCGAAGGCTGTCACCGTCGCCCCGAGGCAGCTCTCAACAGATCCTCAAGCACAGAAGCAGCAATCACCGGAGCTGGAGAAGACAAAACCGCCGCCTGAGCTGTCAGTAGCTCAAGCCAGTGCGACATCGCCTCCGCGACCCACAGCAACATCGGTCCTGACCCTGCAGCAGGTGCTAGACAGAGCCCAAGAAAATGTCAGGCCCATTGAGCTCCCCGGAACATAATTAGGCCACCACTACATGGCAGTTCCAAAGCGGCTACTCAAAGCGGCTACTGGACAGCCGAGGAGAAGGCCTTGCGGGGTAGAAATAGGGGGAAGAAGGTGGCTGCTCGCGGCCGTAGAGACCGCAAATAATGCCATCTCTCCCTAAGCACAACGCAAACTCGAGGCATCTGAAATGCCTCCAAGTGAATCTTCAACATGCCAAGGCAGCGTCAGCTGTTCTCTGCAGGAGGTTCACTAACGAGGGTCTAGGTATAGCGTTCATCCAGGAACCCTGGATACTACGCGGTGAGGTCAAAGGTCTGAACGTCAATGATGGTAAGATCATATATGCCCCCAGCCCTCGCCCAAGGGCGGCGATGCTATTAAGCAAAAAACTAACGTTTCTTCCTCTATTACAGTTCATGACGGCGGATCTGGTTGCGGTTTGGGTCGAAATTCCCACTCCAAGGGGTGTACAAGAGGCAGTACTTGCCTCAGCGTACTTTCCGGGTGAGGAGGAGATGGCCCCAACAGCAGAAGTAAAGGCTTTCGTGGAGCACTGCCAGCAGAGTGGTAAACCCTGGATCCTCTGCTGTGACGCCAATTCACATAACACTGTTTGGGGCAGCACCGATACCAACAAAAGGGGTGAGTACCTCCTCGAGTTTATTAGTAGTCATAATATAAATATTATAAATCGTGGCAATGAACCGACTTTTAGAAATGCTTTAAGGGGGGAGGTCTTGGATCTAACTCTAAGCAGTCAAAACATGTCATCATATGTCACAAACTGGAGTGTCTCCGGGGAGGTATCAATGTCGGACCACATGCATATAGAATTCGACATGGGTCTCTTTCCTGAACACGAACTAGTTTTCAGAAATCCCAGGAAAACGAACTGGGAACTCTTCCGCTTTACTATAGAAGAGGGCGGAAACAGCCCCAAACACCCCATTACAACCAAACAGGAGCTTGAGAATGAAGCTGAACAGCTTCACTCAGATATTGTAATAGCTTTCAACAGCAGTTTGCCCCAAGGAAAGGTAAAATCCAAACGAGATGTGCCTTGGTGGAGTAAGCTTGAGCAAATGAGATGCCAGGCCAGAAGACTATTCAATAGAGCAAAAAATACGGGTGATTGGAATCCGTATAAACTTGCGCTAACTTCCTACAACAAGGAGCTAAGGAAATCCAAACGAGCTAGCTGGCGAAACCACTGTGAGGAAATAAATAGCCTTCCAGAGGCAGTACGCCTCCAAAAAGCTCTAACAAGGGATTACAGGAATACAATTGGCACCCTCAAGAGACCAGATGGGAGCTACACTCAGCATCCGGGTGAGACCAGCAGACTCTTGCTGGATACTCACTTCCCGCGCTGTATATCAGGCTACTGTCGACCAGAATTGGGTGCTCCAACATCCACCTCTGGAAGAGAACAAAGCCTTGCTACGAAGCTGACCACTGTCGAGCGGGTGCAATGGGCTTTATCAACATTCAGCCCATACAAATCACCAGGACCGGATGGAATCTATCCATGTCTCCTGCAGCATGGAATTAGACACATAGCGCCGGTCCTTTCTAAACTCTATAGAGCTTCGCTCTTGTTGGGTCACATTCCCAGCATATGGTCTGAGGTTAAGGTCGTGTTTCTACCCAAAATGGGTAAGCCGGAACAATTACCGTCATCCTACCGACCAATTAGCCTCAGTTCCTTTCTTCTAAAAGGCATGGAGAAAATACTGGATCAGTACATCAGAGAAGTCAACCTAAGGGAACGACCTCTGAATAAGAACCAATTTGCCTATCAACCAGGAAAATCCACTGAGACTGCCATTCATAGCCTTACTTCAAAAATTGAGAAGGCTCTGGAGTCAAAAAATATAGCCCTTTGCGCCTTTATTGATATTTCAGGGGCTTTTGATAACACATCATATAAGGCAATAAAAGATGCCTTGTTAAGAAAGGGTGTAAGCCCAATCATAAAGCAATGGGTGTTATCAATGTTAAGAACACGAAACATCAGGTTGGAATTAGGAGGCACGATAGAATCGATAACAGCCACAAGAGGATGCCCTCATGGGGGTGTACTCTCTCCTCTTTTGTGGACTATGGTTGTAGACGAACTCCTTTTCACACTGAACATCCAAGGCTTTAATACGCAAGGCTACGCAGATTATCTGGTAATCTGCATAACAGGGCTTCATGACGAAACTATCACCAACCGCATGCAACAAGCCCTACGTATCACACACAAATGGTGTGAGGATAAAGGCCTAACCATCAATCCTACAAAGACTATTATTGTTCCATTCACTCGAAGGAGGAAATTATCTACTACTAAACTTACTTTGAGCGGCACAGAAATAGAATTTTCCAGTGAAGCTAAATATCTGGGAGTAACTCTTGATAAAACACTTAACTGGAATGCACATTTGGACACTGTTATCAACAAGGCGATGAAGGCCTTCTGTGCCTGTTCACGACTTTTTGGTAAAACATGGGGCCTTACCCCCAAAATGACCTACTGGTCATTCAACACTGTCGTTAAGCCAATAGTAACCTATGCTTCCTTAGCATGGTGGACTAAGGCTACACAAAGAGGTGCAAGCACTAAGCTAAGTAAATTGCACAGAATAGTCTGCATTGGCATAATAAGAGCTATGAAGACCTGCCCGGCCGATGCACTCAGCGCCCTGGTTGGAATACCTCCCTTTCCTATTTTAATAGAAAGGGAGGCTACCACAGCGGCACTGAGAATCCTGAACACCTCCGACCTGAAAATCGGAGATATGACGGGTCACATGAAGGTCCTAATGAAATTCGCTAATGACCCCATACTACAAATGCGCGATGCAATTGTTCCAAAACCAGAAATCTCTAGGAAATTTGAGGTACACATTGCAGATCGAGCTCTCTGGAATACAGGGAACCCATACACCAAACCCAATGGGGAGGTTTGGTATACTGATGGATCTAAGCTTGAAAATGGTAGAACGGGGGCTGGCATTTTTGGGCCGAACTTTAAAAAAATGGTACCAATGGGTAGCTACCCCACCATCTTTCAGGCGGAGATTCATGCAATAGAAATTTGTGGCAGAAAATGTCTCAGAAGGGGAACGTCATCGAAATATATCTGCATTATGTCGGACAGTCAGGCAGCCCTACTGGCCCTGAAGTCCCACAAAATAAGTTCTCAGCTAGTACATGATTGCCGCAATATCCTAAATGCTCTTGGTGACAAGAATACAGTCTTATTAGGATGGGTACCAGGGCATGTGCGACATGATGGCAATGAGGAGGCTGACTGCCTAGCGAAACAGGGAGCTGCCGCAGTATTTTATGGTCCGGAACCCTTTTGTGGGCTCACCAAAGCACATATAAAGGGGACCATGAATAACTGGGTAGACAAAATGTTCAACAGGCATTGGATGGAATGTCCAGGGCAAAGACAAGCCAAACGATTTATCTGCCCTTCAAACGAAGTTTCAAAGAAACTAATCAATTTAGGCAGAGAGGACCTCAAAACTCTCACTGGGTACTACACGGGACACTGTTCTCTTCGTTACCACCTCAGTAAAATCAATCTTTCAGAAGCAAGCGTCTGTCGCTTCTGTGAGCTGGACGAAGAAACGCCAGAACACATTCTCTGTGAATGTGATGCTCTCGCTGGGCGCAGACTAGCCCACTTTGGTGGCGCTACCCTTAATCGATTTGAAATTTGGAACAAAACGCCCTTGGAGGTGCTAGGCTACATTAAGAGCCTTCCCTTATAGGCCGGGGGCCACGCACAATAGACCACTTTATAGGTCGCGGTGCATATGGCCCATAATAATAATAATAACCTTCTAAAGCACCTTTAAATTCCTTTGATTTCATGAGCTTTCGTTTATCCGGCCCTTTCAGAACACCTTCCTTTAATTTTGCTTCGCTGATTGGTGGGAAAATATTTTTCAAACAATCAAGAATTTTCGGTTGCTTCACAATGGCCTTGATGAAATTTTTTACGATTCGAAGTTTGATATGGAGAGGGGGCATGAGGACGTTCTCCATTTCCACCAGTGGATCATTTACGCAGTTGTGTCCTTTATCCGTTGGATCTCGAGCAAGCCAGTCATGCATTTCGTATTGGTTTCCTTTAAATCGGGTATCCCAAAGACACAAGAAACACATGTTTTTGGTATAGCCTCCTTGGAGACCTCTTAGCATCGCCACGACTTTCAGATCACAACTGATCCGCCACATGTGATCAGTGTAGTTAACTTTATCCACAATTATTGTCATGGAATCGTATGTTTCGCTCATGTCTGTGCTGTAGCCAATGGGAATGATTGGTTTTTTATTATATTTATGTAGCAAAACGACTTTCAGGCTTGATTTCGAAGAATCGATGAACATTCGCCAATCAGCTGCGACATAATTAATGGCCATCGCCTCCATCAGTCCCTTTATATCGTGGCAGTAAACAAATGTGTTCCCTTCGTTGAGTGTGTAGTACCGTTGGAATAGCAATTGTCGTCTTCGATATCCGGTGACTTTGACATTAGGCTCCAAATTGTTGCCTTCTTTCAAAAGCTAGGCAAGTTTTT